CAAGTTGTTAGCAATGTGAATTGAATGTAAGATCTGAATTCCCAGAGACATTTTGTGCCAAATGAACACACGTCATGTGATTGTGAGATGGATGTGGATTTGAAAAGTGGAAAGAATCAAAAGATATTAACTAGATTTTAGGCTGGAATAGGAAAATGAGAGTGCCAATAAATGAAGTAGGAACTAATTTGAGGTGAAACTAAATTATGTTCTTGACAAAACTTACTTTTATAGCATTTTTTTTAAAAGCTCAGACACATATAATTTGGGTCATAATTTCAATTTACACTCTTATAAAAGCTCTTGTAACATTTTCTTTTCTTTGATTGTAACAGACTTTGAGTGTGTGATTACACAAACTCAAAGCCAAAACATTCCCAACAAGATTTTAGACTTGTATTCTTAGTCTCATTTGTATTGCAGTAACTGTTGTTGGGCATTGGGCCAGGAAATTGTGACTACTAGACAGGGGTGGAGTTAGGAAAAGTTCACCATTGCCAAAGAGATTCAATTCCAGATGGATTTGTGTGGAGCAACAGTGATATCCAATGACAAGTTAAATTAGACACAGAGGTGTTTTCTCCACACTGTCTTGGAAGATACATGCTGTTGAGAGTTCTGGTACAGACTAAAGCTATCTTTTGAAGTTAGGTTAAAGTCACACAAAAAAGATTACACTAGGGACTTGAAGAATTTTGTTATGTGACTTCAAGAGCTAACTGATTCAGATAGTTTCACACTTTGCAAAACGGCAACCAGTGACAGATGAGGTAATGCTGCTTTAAATTATGAGTTAAATCTCAAACCATTAAGAGTTTGTTCTTTACAGAGTTTCAAATGTAGTTAATTTGCATGTTCGTGTTCCTTAAGTGTGAGACTTTTTAGATCCCTATTCTTAATGCATATGTATTTATAGCCTTATTTATTTTGCTTAATGTCTGTGTTTATTTGGATAGAATTCCTCAAATTTTGTGCCTTGCTACAGTGGGATTTAATTGTAAAAGCTGCTACATTGGTTTTTGTGTTGAAGTCTGTGCCTTTTCTTGTCTTCTAAAGATTTTCTCTTAATCATGCTCAAATCTGTATTTTGTAAATAAATGACTTAGTATGAAGGAATTTTTGGCTGATTGTGTATTAAGATTGACTGCTTCTTTTAATCATGTTTCTAGGATGATGGCTTTGTGCTTTATTTAAAACAAGCTTTGGAAAGTTAATTTCACAAATGTATTCAAACCTCTTGAAGATAGAGGTGTGGAGTATATTCCATTGGTTAATAATTTAGACAAATGGTGCAAGTAAACACATTGGCAAAGGTGGAAAGTCCTGGGACCAGAAGAAAATTTTGGATTTTGGGGGGCAATTATGATTTTTTTTTTTAAGTGTATGGTGGCAATATTGGACTAGCCTTTTAAAATTAGAGTGACATTTTCTTTTATTACATTAGTAAAGGTTAGCTTTTAGTTTGAGGCCAAGAGGTCAGTTTCTCTTAAAGACTATCCTGCAGACATGGTATTTCTGGCTCAAGGCTGCATCTCTACTTAAGTCAGTGAATGCTTTCAGCATTATTATTTTTGTAAACCTTAGTGTATATATTAATGCAGTTTTATAATGCAGCTGTTCTGTCATTAGAGCTTTGCTTATGCATCTTAGACATTCATACACAAATTATATTTAATTCCTTATTGCCTCCACCTCTGGTGTTTTGTAGAATAAGAAATGAGGATGCATATGAGATTTTCTTGTTTGTTTCATAATAGAATTAATTAGAAGGGGTGAAAAGTGATAATTCTTTTTTTAAGTTAAGGAATTGCATTTGTGAGTGATGGTTCTAATTTTGAATAAAAATGAAAAGATAAAAGCTATATGGTGAAAGATCTTCATAGAAAGGTATCTTATTTCCTAATTTTCAGCATCTAAAAGGAACTTGTAGAATATATCACAAGACAGTAACTGCTTTGTAGTAAACATTCAACAAATGTGCTGAATAGTTAAATAAGGGTCTAGTCAAAGAGGAAAGAGTATGGTTTTGCCCCCCCCCAAAAAAGTTTATATCCTCATATTTTTCTATGACATTTACAGAGTTTGTATCGATAATATCTAAGGTGTATAATGATTTTTATGCCCTTGAAAATATGAACACATGTTTTATCTTTTAAGTAACTGGTGAGCTATCTTCCTAGGCTTTTTGATAGTTTCTTTCTACCTATACCACTGATTAAGTGATATTAGTAGTCTCCCCCCCCCGCCGTGATTTTAGCGGTGTCTGAAATCAGTTCACATTAACCTTTAATCAGAATTGAAGCTGTTTTATTATATGGTTCCACATCTATCCCTCCATGATTATATATATCACAACGAGGAAAAATTTTCTCAGTTCATCCCTGCCTGAATTCCCAAGGAATATTTTAAGCATGTCAGCTGTTCCTGCTCTGATCAAGGATTTGATCCTGTTGGCCCCCTAGCCTGAATTAAGAGTGTTTGAAAGCCTAAGCTTCAGTGATAACATTTAGTTTCCAGAGTTAGAACCATTGCTTTTTATTTTTTTTTAGAACCATTGCTTTTTTTAATGTTTTTGCCTGTCTTGCCTTCAGAAGAATTTGTATACCTAAGAAACAGTGATGATATATGTAGATGCTCTTATCAGTACAAGCAAGGCAAAGTTTGATGAATATATTTTGGTGTTGTGGAATGTTTGAAAGAAAGTTTTAGGTAGATATCCTTAATTCTGTAGCTCCTTATATCCTTCAGCTTCTGCCACTCCCACATCCTACTGACTGATTATTAATCCATAACAAAGTAAATATTGACTTTGCAGAGATCTGGGGTTTTTTGGGAAAGAAAATAAATATTTTATATAACATCTTTTAGGAACTAAGTTTTATAATGCTAATCTAGTGTGTATAGGACACTGAGATGGTAATAACTTTCATATTTTACAAAAGATACCAATTCTGAGCTGAAGGGAATATTGATTTTAAGTCCTCGATTAAAATATTTTAATATTTGAAATATTTGAAAGCTTGTCTGCATTTAAACTTGGTGATTACATTCTGAGATGAGAGGAAAATTTGAAACAGTAGTGATTTGGTGAAGAATTATTACCTAGGTCAGTAATTTTTCTAAACTCTTGAATATTCCTTCATAAAATATGGGACATTCATTCCTATACTATAGCCCTTATAGTGTATGAATACAAATTAGACATTTTAAAATGAGGAAATAAGTATCAGTAGACCTACTGTTTTCTTTTATCCCAGTCGAGTTCTGCAGTCTCTTTTCTTTGGAGATGTTAACCTAGGTCATTAATGAGGGGGCCCAGACTAGGGCATCTTTGTTCCCTATGTGATGTGTACCAGTGTATTTTTTTAGTTACTGGTGAAACAAAGGCAAAGAAAAGGTTTGGTAATCAAAGGATAAGTCATCCAGTTGTAAATTTCACTACCAAGCTGGAGATAATGAAAAGATATGCTTATTTTCAGAGATGATTAAAACTTACCTCTGAGGCAATCATGTTGATATCTGCCATACTATTGTGTTTACTTTTGCATGCATCTCATAGTAATTTTTTTGAAGTTTGAATTTGATGATTGGATTTTAAGGAAATGAAATTATTTGGGCTCTCCCTGGTGGTACAACGGGTTAAAGCACAGCACGATGTTGCTATCCGAAGCAACTGCAGCACAAGTTTGATCCCTGGCCAGGGAGCTGACCCACATGGTGTGGCAGGATTGCCCGCTGCTACCCTCAGTAGTGTACTTTGTCAGTCTGTCTGTCTGCCTTTCTGCTCCCCACTCTGTCTCTGGTGAATCCTCTCACTTACCTACCACACCTCTGGCCTGAACCCCAGTTCTGTAAGCACTGGGGTTAAATCTTTTAAACAATCCAATCATTTGTTCTTGTATGCAGTGCAGAGTTTTAATTTCATGGCTTTTATTGCCCTTTCCCTATACCCCTGCTCCTCTGGAAGACCTTATGAAAATCAAAAGAAAAATAGAATCAAAGCTACTCAGTTCCAACCATAATTATTCAGTAGTTCACTGTAAGCCTTCTCCTTGCTTGGTTATGTTGCTTGGCTTGCCTTTCTTGTTTTGTCCTATTAGAAAATTCTACTCAGATTCTCTCAGACATTACTAATGGTGTCTAAACAACTGGTACTGTCTCCTCCATGTTATTTTATAACATCTATTGGATTGTTATTAATATTTGCTTGTATGGTTTCCTATTAGGCTGAGTTCCTTAAGGAACAAATCAGTAATCAAAAATATAAATTCCTGGCCTCCTTAGTAGTGCATGGGGTTGTCTCAGGACTATCAAGCTATTGGCAGCCACTGCAGCACAAATTCAATCCCCAGCCAGGGAACTGACCCCCATGGTGCAGCAGTTCTCTCCTGTCTTACCTGCTGCTCTCCTCAGCAGTGTATTTCATAGATCAGCCTGTTCTGCTCCCCACTCTGTCTCTGGGGGAATACTCTCATCCCCTACACCTGCAGCCTGTACTCCAGTTCTTGCATAAGTAAGTAAATCTAAAAGAGTGTAAAAAATATAAATTCCTTGGGGGCAGATAATCTTTTGTTTACTGCCATATCAGAATAACTGGCATATAGTTATTGTGGCATATCAGTATTTGTGGACTAAATGTATTTGTGTCTTTAGTATCTAGCATATGGTAGGCTTTCAGTGTACTGTTGTTTATTAAACTACAAATGAATGAATTATAAGTCTCAGAAATAAGCATATTTTATGGGGTTAAGCTTGGAAAAGGAGAAATGGCTTTCTGAAATTGAGTCCAAGGAGTGGTTGATACCAAGATACAATAAGAAAATCCACATATTTTCTGATAATGTGATTTTTGATTTCACTATGGCCTGAAAAGCACTGGAATGGTTTTTGTTTTGAACCCTAATATTGACAATTAACTGAGAAATAACTCCACTAAATATAAGAAATTTCTTTTGTTTCAGTATTAGTTGAGATAATTGTCACTTTTCCTCCTTTTTTAGGGTGTTTGTGAACCGAAGTTTAGCCATGGAAAAAATAAAGTGTTTTGGTTTTGATATGGATTACACACTTGCTGGTGAGTAGCACTTTGCTTAAAAACTATGATTTTGGGTATAATGAAAGTAGGTCCAAAATAGGCAATTCACTTAACACTTACTGATTTAATCATTTATGTGTTCGTCTGAAGCTCTTTTTTTCAGGCTGCTTCCATTGATATTTGTATTGAAATTGCCAGATATCTTTGAAATTTATTTGCAAAGATAGAACAAATGCTAAACTATTTTAAAAATCTTGGTTAAAAAATGATAATGGGGAAGTTTTACATTAATGTGAACATTTGGGTACCTTTTGCTTTTATTCTTTTGAGCTGTTCAAGGATGGAATTTTGTATCTCTCACTACCACAAGATAAACCTTTATTCAACTTTTTAGTGCTGTCCTTAAGCAAAATGGAAAATAATTGCACACATATTATTATGTAAAGTTTTTTCTAAACACTGGAGCGCTGTTATCTTTATTATCAAATTGACCTTAAGCACTGGCACTGTGATTTTTTTTCCCCTTTCTCTGAACTGTTTGAAATATCGTACTAGTTAATAGTTACAAATATATCTTTCAGAACTTAAACTTTTATTAAAATACTTGTAGTCGGGTGTAGATGTCTTTTAAGAAGTAGTAGGGACAAGGGACTGAATTGAGCACGTGTGGTTATATTTTGTACATGAAAGTATACAGCCACGGTACTCAGAAAAACATCAGTACTTTTCTCTAAAAATAACTGTCTTTATGAGCACAAAAACCTTAAAATTTATAAATTCAACGTATGCAACAAACTTAAATGAATAGTATAAATTACAAAAATACACTCATGGAGTTTATAGGTATTTGCCACGTAGTTAAGGCCATGATATTTATTGAACAAGTTATTTTAATTATAAACACTGACTTTTGGGAATTTCTCCCCCCCCCCCCATGGTCCCCCTGTGCACTAATTACTTGGTTTTCTATTTCCTTAAAGTTATTTTTGCATCATTTTGGTTCTTTCACTTTTTCCTATCTGGACACACACACTTCTAGAAGAGCACTTGCCAGAAAGCAAAGTGGAAGCATTCTGCTTTCTTAGTGTAAATTATGCTTGCAGTCCAGATGGGAGAAAAGTCTGATAATCTTTTTCCTTTCTAAATTCTGGCTATCCAGGGAAAGGAATGGCGAGGTTTTTCAGCATCTGGAAAGCATATTATCCAAAGCAGAAATAAAAGTTAATAGGCTCAGAACGTGACAAACTTTTCCCCTTGGTTATTAAGGCAACCTCATTATATTAAAATAGTTCAGTTCAAAAAGTTCAGCGAAAACCTGTAATATGCTGGGCACATTTTGTTACTGAGCATTGAGAGAACATATTCCCACAGAATAATGAAAATAATGAATTCTCTTGGTTAGTGGAAAAGTCACTAAATCTTACTCTTTGAACTTTAAAGATTACCTCATGATTGCTTTTATTTTTGTAATCCTGCTTCATATTGTAATATTTACTCTTTGTCAAAACTAATATGTATATTTATATATAATAGTGATTAGTAATATTGATTGATTGTTATGTGCCAAGCTATTGCTTTACATAGGCTATCTCATTTAATAAATCAATTATTTTTTCTACAACATGTATTTAATATTTGTAAAAAATTTATGGAGGCACGTACTACTAATATTGTGTCCATTTAACAGATGCAAAGATATCAAGGACATTTATCTAGCTATGATATAGCTTAACTGAGATTCAAACCTAAGTGTAAATGTGTGTATATATGTGTAGTATATTTAGATTTATTATTTGAGTATTATATATAGAGATAATTTGAAAGTAACAAGATCACTCCTCTTAAACAAACTGGGATTTAAGCACTCAGAAGTGCAATAGTTCCTTAAAGTATTTCCCTTGTCTCTAAATCATGTGTTATAAATCAGCATTACCTCAAAGAGAATGAATGAACAAATGAGTGAATGAATTAAATGAAATAAAATTAATTCTTTGTAAGTCTTTGGCCTTTCTGAAGCCTTGTCTGAGATACTGTCTTCTCTGTGCAATTCTGATACCATATTTTCCCCTCAGAACTAATATTTCTGTTGTACTTTTTGTTTTATTTATCAGTCTCTCTATTGGCCTGCAAGTTTCTCAAGGCCAAGGGGCTTTTTTCTTCATATTTGTATCCTGTGTATTGCCAAAAGCCAGCCATGCATGCGTATAAATATATATTGGTTTAAGAAAGATGGTACTTTAACCTAGTATAAAATATACTCAATTATTCAACAGAAATGCTTTTTGAAAATATGAATGCTCTTTAACATTTTTAGTAAGTTTTATTGAGGAATAAGTAACATAAATAAAACTAATGCATTTTAAGTATATAGAGCTTGACAAGCAAGATGTTTACACCTTTGTAACCATCACCACATTCAAGATACAGAATATTTTCATTACTCCAAAAAATTCCCTCATTGCTTCTCTGAAGTCAGTTCTTTTCCCTACCCCACTCTTTGTCCAAAGCCTTTTTATCACTATAGATTAATTTTGCCTTTTTTCAGAATTTCATATAAATGGAATCGTGCCGTATGTACTCTTGTGTCTGGCTTCTTTTGCTCAGCATAATGTTTTTGTGTTTCATTCATGTTGTTGCATCTGTCAATAAGTACAGTAGTCTCTTCTTAGTCTTGGGGGAATCTCTTCTTAGTCTTGGGGGAATATGTTCCAAAATTCCCAGTGGATGCCTGAAAGTGTGAATGGTACTAAACCCCGTATTACATTGTATTATGTTTTTCTTCACATACATACATACCTATGACAAAGTTTAATTTATAAATTAGGTACAGTAAGAGATTAGTAACAATAATGAATAAAAAACAGAACAATTATAGCAATAGGCTATATTAAAGATTATGTGAATGTGTCTCTTTTCTCTCAAAATGTCTCATTGTAAATATTTTCAGACTGCTGTTGACAATGGGTAACAAACCAAAACAAAACCAAGGATAAAGGAAATTACTGTTTTTCTTTTTAGCCTCAACATTTAACTTTTTATTTTGAAATAAGTAAAGGCCTACAGAAGAGCTACAAAAAGAATATATTTACTCCCTAACATATTATTTGAATATAGGTGAGCTAAGAAATTAACAATTAACTATTAATTGAACTACAGTCTTGATTCAGTTTTTGTTTGCCCACTAAACTTTTATTTCGATAAAGGGCCCAATCTGGAATTCCATATTACTTTCAGTTGTCATATTTCCTTAATCTTATCATAGTTCCTAAGTTTTGTCTTAGTTCCTAAGTTTCTTAGGAAAGAACCTGTCTTTCATTGCTTTGACACTTTTTGAAGAGCTACTGATTACATATTTTATAAAACATTCCACAATTTGAATTTGTTTTTTCATAAGTAGATTAAAGTATTAAAAATATTTGAGAAGAATACCTTCGAAGTAGTTTACCTTTTCTCAGCCTACCAGGAAAGTATTATGTGTAGTGTATTATGTATAATATTGTTAGCTCTTATAATTAGTGATATTAGCCTGAAAGCATTATGAAGTTATCCTACTTAAACATTTCCTTTTTTGGAAGGAGGCAGCAAGTAGTATTTTGTTGTATCTATTTGTTTATGGACATTTGGGTTGTTTCCAGTTATAAGTGAAACTCTGTGAACATTGGTGTCCAAATTTTCTTGTGCATGAGTAAATATCTAATGGTGGGATTGCTAAGTTACAGGCTTACTGTACAGGAAACAGACAAATGGTTTTTCAAAGTACTGATAGGATTTAAATTTCCACTAGTAAGCACAAGTTTTCTAATTCCCTTCTAGTTAGCTAGATTTGATACTTTGAATTTTGGCCATTCTGGTGACTTACCATATTATCTTCATTGTGATTTTACTTTGCATTTGCTTAGTTAGTAAAAATCTTCATATGCTTATTAGTTATTTGTATTTTAGTGTGTGTGAAGTGCCTATTCAAATTACTGTTTTTAATTAGGATTGTGTATCTTTTTGTAGTTGAGGCATAAAAGTTTTCTGAATACTGGTCCTTTGTTATGTCTTAAGGATAATACTTGTTAGTCTTTTGACAGCCTGTTTTATTGGTTACTTAGTCTTCTTTAGTATCTTTAGTAAAAAGTGGTTTTGTGATTTTGGGTGTAAAAGTCTTACATATATTTTGCTGTATCTGTTAACTATTTAATATTTTTTATGCAGTTGTAAATGTTTTTAATTTTCATCTTGTGTTTTGTTAACAGATATAAAACTCATTTATGTGTGTTATATGTATTTATATCATTGTTCATTTTTGTACAGTTTCATTTCTCCTCTGAGGTGTTCTCTTCATAAAATTAACCACCACCAAGACACCTGTGAATCTGTTACCATAGATTCTTGTGCTCTTTCCACTGATTTTGATCCTTCTCTTTCCGCTTTCCCTGCCGAATGTCTCCAGTTTATAATTTACATTCTAGCTTTGTCTTTTTTCTTTATATGGTTTTTTTCTTTTATATGGTTTTCCTATGTTCATTCTTTAAGTAAAACCATAAAATATTTTTCTTTTTCCTTTTGACTTATTTCAAGTATAATCTCTTCTAGTTCCATCCATGTTGCTGCTAATGGCATAACATCTTTGTATGTTGACTGTGGTATAATGCTGATAAATTCATTTAGTTCTAGTAGCTCTTTTGTAGATTCTTTAGACTAAAACGTTTTTAATCTGGAAATTATTTTTTCCTTTCCAATATATATATACTTTATTATATTTTTTTAACTTGTCTTCACTGAAACCTTATATTGAATGAAGGTGTTGTAAATGTACCTCCTTGCTATAGTCTTAATCTTAGGGAGGGAAGTTCAGTTTTTCATTATTTAGGTTTTTGTGTGTATGCTTTTATCAGATTGAAGACTTTTCCTTTTATTCTTAGTTTTCCAGAAGTTTTAATTGGTTGATTGCTAAATAGGACCAAATGTATTTCTGCTACTGAAATGATCATATGATTTTTCTTTTTGGCCTGCAAACAGGTGCATTTTATTGGTTGATTTTTGAATGTTAA